ATATTCTGGGAAATAGAAATATACAGAAATAGAAATGTTATAAAGGGTGATAGCTTTACAGCAGACAGGATTTCCTGGCTTGGTCCTTGTGACAACTTGGCTTGACTGTCAGAGGAAGTCCCTCACGGCTTGTCATGTAGGTGATGGAAAGAGTGCTCAGGATAATCCCTAGTGGATAGCAATTGGATCAGTGTCCTGTCCACTGTGACTTCAAAGCCTTGAACCTCTTGATCAGTTTTGGTGCTGGCTGCTGTGACATCGCTCCCCCAGAGACCACAGTTAAGCACACTGCATGGGCCACAACCTCTGGTGCTGAAAGATTCAGCCACCACTTTACAGCCTGGTAAAAACAATGGTTTTCTGATATTAAAAAAGGACAGAGTCACTTCTACAAAGGAGTGGAAACATGGTCTCATGGCACATTCACCTCCTGCTGTCTGGTCTGTGCAGTCTGAACCTGTTTTACAGAATGATGAATCTGAAGAATCTGGACCTCAACATTTTTGAAGCCATGTGGGATCTTCTTGACAGAAAACAAAACAAAAGGCAGCTAATATCTGAAGAAGAGCTTTGAATGTCCTTCAAGTAATCTGAAGAATGATCCCTGTAGATAAAGATTGAATTTCAAGCTTGTTCCAATTATTCAATTGTTTTTGACTCATTTATTGTATTTACAGTAACAAATGTTTCAATAAAGTGCTGCTCGTATTTCCCTGTAAAAGATGATGAAATGAGGGGTGGATTCCTGAATCAAGGCTAGTGCTACCCTGAAATGAATCGCTGCGTTTGCTTGCACCACTATAAGGGTGATGTTGAAATATAGCTGATTATGTGTGCCAAAGCCTTTGGGTAAGATGATCCGTGAGAGGAAGAAGTGGCTCAATGAGAACGAAAAATGAAAAATGCATGAAATTATGGGTAATGTCCTTCACACTTCCACTCCTCAGTCTATCTCTCTCCCCTCAGTGTTTGTAGGCAGGAGGCTAAATGGATCTGCGGCTTTGAGGGAAGCGTTAATTCACCAACAAAACAGACTCTAAAGTCACAGAGAGAAGTGAACATTCATTCCATCCAGACTGTGATTACCCACATGAGTTGTCACATCACAGTGGGTAATTTGCTAAATAAGAAGGTAACAGTGTGGCGACTTAAATCAAAGCCCATTAGCCTTTCTACCATTGAGTTGGCCTTTGTTTCTATAGTTGACACTTCCATGTCTTTATCTTGAGATGTGAATTATTCAATTCAATTCAGTTTTATTTATATAGCGCCAAATCACAACAACAGTCGCCTCAAGGCGCTTTATATTGTACAATTATTCAGGCAATAATTTAATTAACATAAAAGAGTATCACAGTTTAGGGACGATTAATCATTGTGGTTTTTATTTCAGTAAAACAAACGCTGTAGGATTTTGATACAAAATGACACTATCACCGATTACTTTGTATTTACTGATTATATTAGAGTAAATACACCGTCTCTGGCTGCTGTGGTAGCTTTTGATGATTGACCTACTTACTAGACGCATCGTAAAAGGAGCCCACCTTGACCTTTATGAAGGGACTCTGGATTTGTGCTCAAATGTAAACCCTAAAGTAACACCCTGCAGTATATTAGTATATTAGTAACACAGACAGCTGTTTTCTTAATTCCACATTTGACCTTACTTTACACAGTAGACAATGCCCTTTTTAAAATCATAATTATCATCTGATTTATTTATTTAGTTTTTTGGTAGGGCAAAACATTATCTATTAAGCTTCACTGCCAACACTTTGTCAAAAAGATCTCCTTATCCTCCATAAATATCATCCAAGGGCACCTTTTACTAGACTGAGCACAAGAGATACACTTCATTTCTACATTGTGATTAATTTACGGTTACAGTTTTTCTCAGTCGCTTTGGTGCGTTTCTCAGAACACCATTAACATTTGCACAGCAGTTAGTGCATTTCCCAAAACAATTAGTGCAAACTGCAAAGCCTAGTGGATAGCCTGCTAAAGCACGTCACATGCACAGAATTGATTATCCATACCTCAAAAGCAAGTATCCATGTCAATGAAACTGTCAGTGCCATCAAAATGAAAAGTGTTGACACCATCTTTATGAACAAGATAGTCAAATGGCATTGTCATGTTTCCACTATGACAGTTTATAATTTCAGTGTTTCCCATTGCAAAAACAATTGGTGACACCTGAAAATGCTGACGACAGCACTATGGCCTACCTGTACAGCCATCTGAAATGTGCAGTAAAGTCACTGTAGATGTTATGGGAGTCTTGGGAGTAACTGAGACACTGAATACGTACGTTTCACATTTCCATTGTGTAGAAGTGTTTGTAATCCTACAGAATTGTGCAAAAGAAAAATATGCTACAGTCACTTGTTCACTGTAGAATACATGTAAACATAAAATCACCAATTTGGTAGAGCCTCCTCATGAGTGACAGCTGTAATTCACCTGAGATCAATTGTTCAATTTCGGAGACATTTCCAGGAAAAATGATACAGAAAGGTATAGGATTTGCTTGACAGATGGCCAATATTTGGCATGTGATAACTAGTTCAACAATTTTGTGTGTGATGACTTAAGCAATGGATGTATGACTATTAGTTTTATTGGGAATGACTGTTCAGCATCCATAGGTATGATTACTTTTGACTGACATGACATAAGCAAATGGAAATGTCAGAAAGCAGCAGGGAAATGTATGGAAGCAACTGATTCATGTCCAAAATCATTTTCAGTTTGTTCAGAGAGAGGAGAAATTGCTACTATGATGTGCACAAATGACTGAGTGTTGTGGAGGTTGAACTAATAGTTATGAGAATTTCAATTCTGATCTGAGAAACGCACCAAAGTGACTGAGAAAAACTGTAAAAGGTCTGTGTATAAACAGAGAGCCAAGACCACACTTCAGTTTTCGTCCTCCCTGAAGCCACGGTGAGAACTGTAAGGGAGCAAAACTCCTCTCAATAACAGATGAGCTGCCCTAACATTGTGATATGTGCATAATTAACACAGAAAGTGCATTATTAACAAGAATTTAAGACAGGATAGATAGAGAGAGAGATAGATAGATAGAGAGATAGAGAGATAGATAGCAAAAGCATGGTGCAGGGACTACAAAGACAGTAAATGTAAATGTTCCCGGGAGACTGATCTAGTGCTGTCAGTTGCAATGATAAACTCCAGGCAGAGGAAGCCTGCAAGACAACACAAACAGACAGAAGAAGAAAAACACACACAGGAGGCCCGGCCCAAGCAGCAGGGTCACGGTTACAGCTGCAAATATATAAGTTCGTACATTTGATACTGACACTTCAATTCAATTCAATTCAATTTTATTTATATAGCGCCAAATCACAACAAACGTCGCCTCAAGGCGCTTCATAGATACAGAGAAAAAACAATCATATGACCCCCTATGAGCAAGCACTTTGGCGACAGTGGAAGGAAAAACTCCCTTTTAACAGAAAAAAACTCCAGCAGAACCAGGCTCAGGGAGGGGCGGGGCCATCTGCTGCAACCGGTTGGGGTGAGAGAAGGAAGACAGGATAAAAGAGAGACAGAGGTTAATAACAGATATGATTCAATGCAGAGAGGTCTGTTAATACATAGTGAGTGAGAAAGGTGACTGGAAAGGAAAAACTCAAGGCATCATGGGAATCCCCCGGCAGCCTACGTCTATTGCAGCATAACTAAGGGAGGATTCAGGGTCACCTGGTCCAGCCCTAACTATATGTTTTAGCAAAAAGGAAAGTTTTAAGCCTAATCTTGAAAGTAGAGATATTGTCTGTCTCCCGAATCCAAACTGGAAGCTGGTTCCACAGAAGAGGGGCCTGAAAACTGAAGGCTCTTCCTCCCATTCTACTTTTAAATACTCTAGGAACAACAAGTAGGCCTGCAGAGCGAGAGCGAAGTGCTCTAATAGGGTGATATGGTACTACAAGGTCATTAAGATATGATGGGGCCTGATTATTTAAGACTTTGTATGTGAGGAGCAGGATTTTGAATTCAATTCTGGATTTGACAGGAAGCCAATGAAGGGAAGCCAAAACAGGAGAAATATGCTCTCTCTTTCTAGTCCCTGTCAGCACTCTTGCTGCAGCATTTTGGATTAGCTGAAGGCTTTTCAGTGAGTTTCTTGGACATCCTGATAATAATGAATTGCAGTCGTCCAGCCTGGAAGCAATAAATGCATGAACTAGTTTTTCAGCGTCACTCTGAGACAGGATATTTCTAATTTTAGAGATGTTGCGCAAATGGAAGGATTATCACTTGAAAATAGTATTGTGATGAGGTGAAATGTAATTTACAATAATCAGAAAGTAACAAGTTCTATCTTCCATCAGTACTTAGCCCTCCTGTTGTATGTTGGTTTCCAGGAACACTTATGTTCCCCGGTCAATTTGACTCGGGCATGTTTACTCATCCAAAAGTGTCAGAAACACTGGCATTGATTATTTTACAATTTTCTTTTATAATTTTGATCTTTTTCGTTTTCTGTAGTGATGCAGATGACATGTGACATCTCTTCTGTTCTGGGTCAATCTGACCCGCAAAGTAACAGGAGGATTAAAGGAGGATGTTTGCCTGTTTTAATTTAACAAAACTGCCTTCCCCTCCAATTTAGCAGCAACAAAGAAAACGTCAAACTTCAAAAATGAAAGAGCTTTAAAATTTCACCGAATTCAAACACCAGTAAAGGTATTTGCTATGGTCCCAGTTTGATGGGAAGTAAAATGCTTCTCTGCAGCTCCAAGCAAACATCAAATCCATGTTATGATGAAGTTTCTCCAGTGAAAATAAAGCTGGGTAAAGGAGGCTTACTCTCCTCAGCAGCATCCCCCCGCCCCCCTCACAGCTTGCCGAATAATTCGTCTGTCTTCCTCCAGATCTAACATTAGGAGCGGCACCGGTTCGTGAATGGTTAACCCGAGTGACGGCGTTGGTTGTCATTTTGCACAGCGGACGAATGAAGCGGTCTGAAGCAACAGCTGCAGTGACTGCAGTAACACGCTCTCTTTTAGCGATCACTGGTAACGGCGGGTAAGTCGTTTATTTCTGGGTCATAAATTGGTTTAATTCCGATTTATTCCCCCCTGACTTTCTTTATCTTTGGAATAACGTCAGGAAGATGGGAAGGTATGAAACAGCGAGAAATTAAAGGATGAGACTAGAAGTTTAGGAAATGTTTACATCTCGGTTATTTTATTTGTTATTTCTTTTGCATTTTCTTTACCTCTTTTTGAATTATTTTGTATGTTCTTCTATATCCTCTGCATTCTTTGTGTGTATTCTTTCCATTTTTTTTATTGATAGTTTGCGCACAGCAGGCAATTCGGCAATATAATTAAAGCTGGACATACATTCTTCGGTAGAAAATGCCACATATGCATAAGGCACAACACCTTTTGCATTTATTATCAGGTTGAATGAAGATTTTTTATTTTATTTTCCCCTTTCAGACTTGCAGTTCCGCGCTGGAGATGTTGGAGGAGAAGAGATACACATTCTAACTTTTCTTTTCTTCTCTTTTAATCTTGTTTTTGGGTCCAGTCAGTCCGATCTCCGTCAGGCTATGTACCACCAGCTGACGGATCAAACAGTGAATGGCAGCTGTCAGGGACCCACCTCAGCGTGCAATAAGAGTGCAGATGGAGACGCGCTCGAGCTTCCCACTTTCTCCACAGCAGCCAAAGTCAGAGTCATCATCACCTTCGCTCTGTGCGCGGTGTCGGCTGTGTGCAACTTGGCCGTGCTGTGGGCTGCCAGCAGCGGCGGCAGGCGCAAGTCACACGTCCGGATCCTCATCATGAACCTCACGGTGGCCGACCTGCTGGTGACTTTCATCGTGATGCCGGTGGACGCGGTGTGGAACATCACGGTGCAGTGGCAGGCGGGGGACGTCGCCTGCAGGCTGCTGATGTTCATGAAGCTGGTGGCGATGTATTCCTGCGCTTTTGTGACAGTGGTCATTAGTTTGGATAGACAGTCCGCCATCCTCAATCCGCTGGGAATCAGTGAGGCCAAAAGGAAGAGCAAAGTCATGTTGGCTGTGGCCTGGACCATGAGTGTCATCCTTTCACTCCCTCAGGTAAAAGAGGACATGGTGTTGCTACCCTGTGAGTTTGCAATTTAATGAGGAAAAAAAAGTGAATTAATTTTTATTTAAATTTTATTTAAACCCAAAATTCAAGTTTTGATCGTAAAATTTGAAAATACCACGTGGGTAAACTAAATACAAGCGCATGAAAACACTTTTGAGTTTCAATATAAATTTCATTAATTTCTAGACTAAATAAACTAAATAAATGATTAAAAAAATATATTCCACATTTGATCTCTCATATATTTTAGTATGAGAAAAAGAAGTTTAATAATAAATCTCAGTTTTTCTATGTGGAAAAAGCTCTAGTTGCTCATTGGCCAGACTGACCTTTAAGTTTAAAACAGAATTTTTTTGTTAATTGACAGAAATTGTCCCTTTTTTCAGAAACAAATTGTTTATCTCTTAGTTATTTACTTTGGTGTAGTGTGAAGGGCTATGGTGCAGGTCTTTATCATTCGGAAAAGCTATAAAATTCAATGTGTTTTATGATTTTTTTTAATATGTAAAAACAGCTCACATTTTCCAATGCTGTCCAGCAGGCCAGACTGGTAACTTTGTGAGACTGATGAAGCCCCCCCCTCCCCCCATGCCCTTACCCTTCAGTTAGCGCATAACAAAGGAGGCTGGGGACCTTCATCAGGTTGCCTGCAGGAACTTAAGAATTCACAACATAACTTGTTATACACAGTGTTCATGTGACTAAATTGGATGCAATTTGCACACTTTTCAGTGTGCTTATCACAAACCAGTGTGGCAGAGGTGCTCACACATGGGACCTACTTGAAGTTCAGTTTCAGGTCAAAAGTGGATGCTGTTCTTTCTCGTGGCCCCCTTTACTCTTTGACCTCAGTAAACACTTTTCAGATGATTTTATGGTGTCAGCTGCAGGCCACAGGTCATACTGAATAAAGAATAAAGTCATTTTTGTACATTTGTAAATTATCGAGATTCTAAGTGTCAGGAAAGAGGATTCTCTCTGTTCACATCTGATATCAAAACACTAGGGGTGCAACAATACTCGTATCGATATTGAACCGTTCGATACAGTGCTTTGGTTCGGTATGCATATGTATGAACAATACAACATTTTTAATTTATTTGATCAACTTTCCTTCTGATGATGCTGTCTGTGTTGAGAGCTCAGTGGATCTGCGTTCGACTACTCCGCCTAGGCTGCACTGTCGAGCGCAGTTCCACTGAGCGTAGCACAAGCTAGCAAGACAGAAGCTAAGCTTGTTGCAACATGGCAAATTGAACCTCCCCCACCCTCATTCAGATCTGGCCTTTGGGACTATTTTGGTCTTCATGTGAAGTATGACCCTAAAGGTAAGCCCCTCATGGACAAAAGTAAAACAGTATGTCGGATGTGCCACGCAATGCTCAATTACATGGGTGGGAACTAGTGCGTTAGCGCAGTTTGCAAGTTAACGTGTTGACACTAGTGATGGGATTTCCAGCTCTTTTTAGAGAACCGGATCTTTCGGCTCGAATCACTAAAAAGAGCCGGCTCTTTCGGCTCCGAACCAGCTCTTCAGGTTGTTTTGTTGCTTTAATTAATTAATTATTAACAATAATATAAAATTATGCACAAAAGGAATTACTAATGTAAAAAAAAAAGTGGTTTTATTTATATATGTTTATATATAAATATATGCGGTGGCCCCTAGAGACAAAACACATACAAACTCCAAAAAGCACATACAAACTCCAAAACACATTTCTAGCATGAACTGAACTTCCAAAACAGAGCTACCTAGATCACTTAAATTACACAATTTATATTGTGTATTTATACACAAGCAGTCATATATAGTCAAATAATAAATTTAAAAAAAAGTTCATTTACCTGTTATTACCACACACCAAATCCGGTCGTTGGTACTTGCTGGCTTGTGTAGCCACTAGGTAACAAAAGCTCAACACTGCCCCCTAGCATCCTGGAGCACTTGTGTTGTCTTTTGTACGTGTTTTGAGTTTTTATGTGCTTCTGAGTTTTTACATGTTTTGGAGTTTGTACGTGCTTCAGGGTTTGTACATGATTTGAAGTTTGTATGTGCTTTGTCTGTAGGGGCCACCGTAAATATACTTTTATTTATTCACTCCACATAAAATGTAATAAATAAATCATATAATAGAAAAATCAACTATTCACATTTCAACTTTTAACTATTTAGATTTTCAGCTTTTTCCTTTTGCAAATTTAAAGCGAAACAACACAAAACACTGCAAACCACAACACAATTAAATATAAATTAAAATATGAAAACATAAAGAAGATGCATATTCTCTGTCATACGGACCTGCATGAATAAACTTTCTGAACCCTTTATCATCTGCAACTGAAAATAGTTGTGGATGATTACTATACCTTTCTAATGTGACCTTGTTGTCCCTGGCTCTCTTTCTCTCTCTCTCTCCCTCCTGCTCTGTTCCTGTGCTACTGTGAGTGTAACTACCGCCCCTCCCCCCTTTTCCCAGCATGATTCTCCTTATGGGGACCTGATATGTTTAATATGCTGCTGAGAATTGACCCCGTGCACGAGAAAATAATAACTTCCTGGTTTGAGACTGGATGTGGGGTTGTACATTTCCGGTAGCTTTACTTTGCGGTCAATCGCTACTGCGAAGATATACTCCAAAATCATATCCAAAACTCGAAAACGGAAAGATCCATTTCTCTGTAATAAACTCTCTTTTCCAAAGATGAGTGATTTCTCGATCAGATAGATTTATTATTTTATCCCTTTGTTGTTTTAGCAACATTAAATTTAAAAACTGTACTTTTGAGTTAAAATATATATTTGTAATTTTAATAAATGACAAATTAAAAAAGCATGAACATTTTTTTGTATCGAAAAAATATCGAACCGTGACACCAAAGTATTGAACCGAACCGAGAATTTTGTGTATTGTTGCACCCCTACAAAACACCAAAATGGTGATATTGAACACACTCAGTTTGAAGCTTCAAATTGGGATCCTACTGACCAAATGACCAAATCAAATGGTGACTACATTCTTCTTTTATAAAGTCTATGGCTATAGGAGCAAAAACCAGATTAAGAAATTCACTGGCCACACAGGATTTTTTGCTGACAGCCTGTCCAGGGTGTACCATGCTTTTTGCCCTGCTGGCACAGACAACAGCCACACACAACTGCTGAATAAGTAGTTATATAAAAGGATGGGTGCATGGATGGACTGAGGTTTTCCCATTTTCACATACCCCTGTGGTCATTGGCCACTTTCAATAATGTCTGATTGGGCTGATTTTCAGGTACTCCGGGGTATTTATCTTTAATGTTACACACAGGTGTAATTTTATAAAGCAGGAATATGCATAAGAAACCCATCTTTAGGCGGAGAGTTTGACACACTGTAACACATTATATACTGCAGGAAAATTATTTGCAAGTTGTATATGTAAAATATTACGTTTATTACAGTGTTATCAGCTCACTTTTTAGCTTTGATCATTACTGTGCCCTGGAGACTAATTTTAGACTTATATATGTCTTTAAGGAATATTTCATGAGTTTGGGAATCAAATCAGCATGTGTGTCCTGATTTTCTTAAAATTATGAAAAAACGCAATGCAGCATAAAATAATTTAATAGGATGTCCTAGCAAGTCCCCCACATTAAAAATAGAAGTAACTGTTTAATATTGTTTCTGCGCTTCCCTTTTTGTAATATTTCTTTCCCTTTTTGTGTTGCTTCTTTTGTTTACGTTTTTTTTTCTATCTATAAATCTTACTTGAAACATACATTAATTGAATATAAGTTTCTTAAAACAGCTCATATAAAACAAAATGCTAAAAGGTTGTAACACACTTGAAACTTTTGTGTCAAAGAATAAATCATTTCTACCAAAATTACAAATTCTTCTGCCACTGTTTAAACTCAAGTGGTAAAATACAAATAAAGATTTTTGTCAGAATGACAGACAATCCTGAACGCTTATTATACCAGAATAATTTCTTTTAAACATCTCAATGCTTTTTTGTAGCCAACTGAATGAGATGTCCATTTCAAAAGGACAAGATTTTACATTCTACTTAAAAAAGAAAAAAAGACCACTTAAAGTTCTTAGGGGAAATGTGTCCTTCAAGGATCATACAATGGAGGAAACTACAGTTACAACAGCAAAAACAAAACAAAAAAATCACTGGCTATCTTGTGGCTCCTTTGGGCCACAGATTCTTATTAACCTCCCCTCTAATGCTCTCTCTTGCATTGTAACAGGAAGATCCAGCAGGAACGCCACATCAATCCTCTGCACTCTTCTGCATATTCCTATATATTCTGTTGTCTTGTCCTCGCTTCACTGCCAGACATTGTCATTCCTCTCTCTGTTTCTTAGGTGGACTTTTTCAGCCATAAAATGCAAATTTGTCCATATATGCTGTTTATTGTAAATCTGTTGTAATCAGACTTTACAAATGTTGTGCTCCAATTAGAGATCTACATATGTGGGCAGGACAAATATTGACGATTAGATAGTTAGATGGACCAGATTCTAAAAACTTTGCCTGGTCAGATGAGTCTCAATTTCCACCCCAGCATGAAACCACGGATCCTTCTTGTCTTGTACTGTATCAATAGTTTAGAGTCCTGGTGGTGGTGTAATAGTGTGGGAGATATCTTCTTCTTATTGGCACACTTTCAGCCCTGCTTGATTTTCTTTACTGACCATGCCCATCCCTTTATGATCGCAGTGTACCCATTTTCCAGTGACTATTTCCAGAAGGATAAAACACAATGTCATGAAGCTCAAATCATTTCAAATTGCTTTCTTGAACATAAAAACTTGTTCACTGTTTTCAAATGGCCAAAGTTACCAGACCTGAATCTAATAGAGCGCCTTTGGAATGTTGTGAAATTGGAGATTCATATCGACATAGCTGCAGTAACTGCGTGATGCTATCATGTCAGTATGGACCAGAATCTCTGAGGAATGTTTCCAGCATCTTATTATGCATTATGGCAGTTCTGAAGGCAAAAAGGGCAGTCCAACCCAGTACTAGCAAGGTATACCTTAACAAACTGGCTGGTGAGTGTATGTTACACACAAAGATATTTATGTTGCAAGTGCAATGCATTTTTTTCAGTGACTTATTACACAGAATATATATTAGCGAATAACTTAAAGCTCTCAGTTTTCTTCCCTCAAATTTGTTCGCTGTACACATAATGCACAACACCGAGTAACCAAAGTCCATGACCTCTCAAAACCTCTTCCGCTGAAAACCAAGAAAAAAGGAAAAAAAAAACCTCTCTTGATTATTTCGAACTCTTCACAGACCAAAAGAGAACAGCAAATGTTAATGCAGTCGTGCATGCTCGAGTCCCACGATTTCATCAGAAAACAATCAGAACAAGATTAAACCCAGAATACTTTATGGATGCATGAATTATACTAAAATTTATAGATGGTATGCAGGGTGTGCATATCTTCACTTTTTTTCCCCAGCTTTGTATCAAAAGAGCAGTGTGATCTTTAGTTACCAGAGGTGAAATGATCATTTCTCTGCTGGGTAAGGTCACACTAACAAATCTCCCAATGCCTCATACTGAAAGTCAGCATGTAAACTAATATACTGTACATATATCCCAATGCTAGGAGGTGATATAAAAGGACAGTTTGTTATATGCATATACTGTATTACAGATAAGGTTGCACTTCATTCAGCAATTTAAGCTTGAAAACCAGAGAGACTGCTGGTTAAACGTTTTTACTGGATGTTCCACTGAAATTCTGCCAACGGCATTTTATTTCTCCCCTTACCAATTTGTTGAAGCGATGTCTACGTCGCTTTAAAACATCAATAGCAATGACATCGCCTTCAGCCTCATACTGTTATATTATGAGCACATTCCACAGAATCTTCAAATCCAAACTAAATGCTTGAGCCCCGAGGTTTGACTTTCCCTAGAAACACTGTGACTGTCTATTTGTGTATCTTCATGAACACATAATAAAGCAGATTTGAAAACTAGAAGCATTCAGATTGTGAAACATAAAATTGTTTTTTAATTTTTTAACGTAAAAACAGCAACATATTATGAGTTCAGATTTGGAACTAAGCTTTCCAAACAGAATGCAAATATTTCTTTTTAAGTTGATATAGGACAACAACAAATATTACATTCTGAAGCTGAAAAGTGTTTTTGTTCTTCAGAAAACAAGTCCTAATTTTGAGCGTGTTTTCCAGCAACATGTTTTTCTAAAAGCTTGGTTCGAGGGCATCAAAATCTCACTGACTTCTGTCATTAGTGGATAACCCTCTACCACCTGAGCCACAGCAGCCCTCAAGTAATTGCACTGCAGCCCAGCAGCAAAAGCAGCATGTTCGATTACTTGGTGCTTTACTTTCATCAGGTATATTCCAGCAAGACATTGAGGACTATCATGTAATGAATAGAGTGCTGAATCTTAAACAGAAATAATATCTGCTAAAGTAATGCACGTCTAAGTTAACAGTTTTTTAAAACTGTTCTATTGTGAAAGCAATCATCATTTCTCTTTGTATGGAAGTATTAAATGGATTGCAATTATATTGTGAATTATGAGTTATGAGTTATAATAATGCACTCAAAGTAATGACCTGTCTATCAGTAGCAACTGGGAGTCTCTTCCTTGCTTAAGGATACCTTGACATGTAAACATAAAGGGCCAGAAGTGCAGCCTTAACCCTAAAATTATTGGATGATCCCTATTTTTTACTCTCTTCCTGGTACTGTAGCTAGGATCTTTTTAACCAGTCTGGAAATCCCTACTTTCAGCTTCTCCCTCATTGATAGGGAGTCACCCCAAAGGGAAGCTGCACATGTTTGATTTGGCAGCCTTTGGCACCACATGCCCAAAGAGATTTGTGGCTTCTCCCAGAACTGAACTGGGGATACTTTGCTTGAGTGGGGGATGTAATAAACAGCTATACTATACAGGTACTCACACTTGTTGCTCTTATTCACAGATTTTCAGACAACAATTATTGACGAGGTCCAACTGCCTTAAAATGTGTCAGAATGAACATTTCGCTTGCTGGCTGTGGATTCAATATCAATTAGAGGATCTGTAAAGACAGTAAAACAGACAAAAATGATTTTAACAGACAAAAAAAAAGAAGAAATTGTGTTTATTCACAATTATCTCTCAGATGTTTTTACAGTATATGGCAGAGACTGTAATGCCCAGACCACCTCCATGAATTTCTAAAGCATTTCCAGTTGAAGGGTTTTAAAGAAAACCAGTATCCTTTGCTAACTTCAGCAAAGTGTCAATCCCAGGATGAAAGACGAGGCCTTAACCAAGCATTTTCAGACCCAAGCATTTGATCAGAAAACACCTTTAAGTGTTATTCTATGCAAGCATATGGTAAAATATCACTGTGTTCAGTTTTACTTTCTTATTAGATTAACTGATCACTAAATATTCATGATCCACTTACATCATGCTTGACTACAGGATAGATCACGAGGATGCAGTGCCGTCGCTCAGTAGAACTTTTCTCGTCTTTTTTTATCCAGATGTTTATATTTCGCAATGTGACCATCACGGTGCCAGAGAAGTTCACCCAGTGCACCACCCATGGCAGTTTTGTCCAGCGCTGGCAGGAGACCCTTTACAACATGTTCACGTTTGTGTGCCTCTTCCTTCTACCTTTGGCCATCATGATCTTCTGCTACACACGAATCCTCATTGAGATATCCAGCCGCATGGCTCGGAATAACTGTGAGTGTTTACTTTTATTTTTTCGAAGGCTTCAAAAAACAGTCGTGAAAAAGAAAGTAGACCTGAATTACTCAGTCATTTTTTAGCAGCAGTAGCCTAAGTAATAACTTTTCTGTACGATTTTCTCTCACATTATTTTGGAGGAACTTTAGCCCACTCTTCTTTACTTATGAAATGTTACTTCAGGTCATTCAGGTTTTGTAGGCATTTGTTTATACAAAGTTCTCTTAAGGTCCCGCCACAGCATTTCACTTAGGTTGAGGAATACGAATGTTTCACACACAAATCCAAAATGTATTTTTATACCTGAATTTGTTCATATTTTAGGAACAAATTCAGAAATCCCTTCAACCATGCATAAGAACAAATGACAGCATGGTTAAATAGGCCTACTAATAATAACAATAATAATTAAAATTATTATTATGCTTTTTTGGTCATTGTTTACAGTTGTAAAAACCTCCTTGAGCCACAAAATGCTCAGAATTACAAAAAAAAAGGTATATAAAGAAAATAACATACTGCTGCTAAGGGAAAGCACAGCCACCCTTTGAAAAAAGCTTATTTCCGCCGCTTGTATCGGTTAGTACCCAAAGCTCATGACCATAGGTGATGTTGGAGATCTGTCATCTCCACAACAGACCTGTGCAGCAGCATCACTGCAGTCGTGGCCCTAATCCGTCTGTGAGTTCAAACTTGTTCCATTATTTCTTATATCACCTTATGTTAAATGTTCTTATTAGTCATTTAAAATAGCTTCTATTATTATCATATGTCGTCACTTACAGTATAATTTCTTGGTACCGAAAATGGATTCTTGAGAATGAGGATTTATTTTATTCATTGCAGTGAGTTTCTCATGTGGAGCTGACAGATTAGGCTTACTGGTCCTTGTCCTCCACTTTGTCCTTTTCTACTTTTTCTTGTACTCTGTTAGTATTTTTCATACCAACTTTAATTCCAAACATTTTTTTGCTTGAGGCACAGTAAATGTCTCAGAGGAAATTATATTGAGTACTCCTGTTATTTTAGTTTCAGTCTTGCTTTTTTATTTATATTTTCGTCACTCCATGGAAACACAAAACTAAGCTTCTTCTGGCTTCTTCCTTGCACCTCAGACTCTATTATTCAACTTTCTACATTCAGACTTTCTACTCATTTCATGCCTTAGAGGTTGTTATGTTCCCCTAAAAGGGTCCAGGCGATGAGGGAAAGTAACAAAAGGTGTCCGGATCAGAAAAAGGAGACAAATTGGCAAAATGGTTAAATGAAAGAGTTTTATTAATAACTTTCTATTAATAACTCAACTAAAAGAGACGGACAAGCCATTTAAAGAAACAAAACAAAACTCAAGCGTCGGTCAGTAAACTGAAAAGCAAGTCAAAAAAGGGTTAGCAAACAAACACACTCATCTCCACCAAGCAGGAGCAAACAATCACAAAACAAAACAATCTCACTAGCTGAAAACACGCAAACACACAGCTCACTAGCTGCAACCACTCACATGACACTCTGCCACCAGAGCTCACCTTTCTCTGCCCTTAAATACCTTTAATTGCTGATGTGAGTCAGCTGTACAAAAGAAAAAGGTGGCACTAAGGCAGGAGAGATGCCCACACAGGCAACTTCAGGAGGAGGCCCTAATAGGGCCATAACACCCCCTCCCATAAATACAAACCCGTGGTTTGTCAAATTGTTCTACCTGTTGCAATAACCAAAACAACAACCAATCAAGTCCGTAATCGTTGCATCACCAAATTGTAGGCTTTCCACCTACCAAACCCCATAGCAACGGTTAGGCATTGCCTGCAGAAGCTGCCAACCCCATCTCAATGGGTTCAAAACACTGACTGAGGCTTCTCTCTTACAACATCTTGACTGATTTTTCTGCTTCACCTCAAGGTTAAAATATTTAATTATATAGAGAAACAGGTACTGAGCAGTGGCGATTGCGCAAAGCTGCTGGTTCTGAATGATTCTGATCTTCTAACATACGCATAGTGGTGGGAACAAAATATGCCCGTTTCATAAGTTCGACAGTAATTTTGCCTTCCAACAGATTTTTTATGTAGATTTCCATGAGAATATTAGTAATTGAGTCCCAAAGTCCTGTTGCATGTTTGGCTCAATGTTTTCAAGGTTCCACAGGTGCTGTGCCAGCAAAACCAGCCCAAATCCTCCCCTGTCCACCACCACTAACAGCTGGTATGAGGTGTTTGTGCTGATTGTGTTTTGTTTTCTCCAAATGTGGCACTGTGAATCATGGCCAAACATTTCCACTTTTGGCTCCAAGTCTTGTGGTTTGTTCACATTGCAAGCTTAAGCTGTGCTGCCATGTTGTTCTCAGTGAGCAGAGGCTTTTTCTTGGCAGTCCTTCCAAAAGGGATCATATTCATCATAACGTAACATGCTAACTGAGACCTGTAGAGTCTTTAGATGTAGCTCTTGAGCTGCTGTACAGTCGACCTTGCGGTGACTTTGATGATATGTCCACCGCTGGGAAGATTTTGCATCATGTGAATAGAAATCTAAATGCTCCAGTCCAAAACCTCTACCAATTTTTTTGCTTTAACAGAGGTGCTTACACTTGCTGATGAATACTTAATCAAGTGAATCATTCCTATGGATTGCAGTAAGGGTGCATAGAGTGCTGTGAACAGGCTTTTCTTCACATGAATGTATATTTTCAGGGAGACATGGAGTAACGGACGTGGTGCTTTCTTTTCTTCCAGTCCTGTCAAGAGATGTTCATCTACGCCGATCCCACAATAACATCCCTAAAGCTCGGATGAGAACTCTTAAAATGAGCATTGTCATTGTGACGTCATTCATCATCTGCTGGACCCCGTACTATCTGCTTGGATTGTGGTATTGGTTGTTCCCTGAAAAAATGGAAAAGACAGTTTCGCATTCACTGACTCATATGCTGTTTATTTTTGGCCTTTTCAATGCCTGTCTAGATCCCATCACCTACGGTCTGTTTACCATTCATTTTCACAAGGGTATGAGGAGATGCCGTCAAAGTTCAAACGCACGGACTGAATTAGAAAACAACACTCGCCTTGTACAAATGAGTCGGCTGTCCTCTCGCAGGCAGATTGCCTCAGATGTTCACAGTGCAAGCACAGAGGTGGTAAGAGAAAGCAACATCATGAAGCATGTCTCAAACCCAGACATGTCAATCAGCAAGATATGATGGCTTAAATAATTCCATAAATGAATGTGTTTCTCTCAATGAAATCTTTTTGTGTTATAAATCTGTTCATGTTCCACCGATATAATTGATGTTGTATTATAGCTTACCTTGAGTTCAATAATCCTGTGGTTTCTCACACTTAATACATCGAAAGCCTCTTATATGATCTGAAAGAGCACTGCCACATTGGCTGAGGGTGACTCAGTACAGACAGATTAAATGTATTAAATGTGAGCCTATGCAGCATGTTGTTGATACTGACTGCATGTCCAAAATCAGTTCTGTGTTTAATGTGCTGCACCAAAATCTGACTCGAGTGAAGGCTCTAAAAAACATCTTTGAGGAGAGCCATTTGGATATTTCACATTAGTATTAGTATCTGTGTTGCTTTCTGTGACTGAGGCTAAAGAAAATATCTGGATTTTGAAGCTTTGTATTAAAAAGTTATCAGTAAATCAAACATCACATAAACCTTTGCTCCCTCAAAATAGTGGTCATTAGTAAATGTTTGCATGGTGCTGCTTCTGTTCTGCAAGATGTTGTAATGTGAATGTATTTATGTGTTTATTTATTGAATAAAAACTTCAGCTTTTTGCTTTGTTAATTCACAAACAGTAAGAGATTTCCCACCAGTTTAATGTACATCTGTCATCAAAATAGAGCAATGCAGTGCATCTGATTAAAAATAATAATAATAATACTACAAATCCAGTTGTTGTAATCTTACATTTTCTACTGATTAACTTCTGTTTAGATTTAAGAATGAATTCATACAGTCAGTTAAACCTTATGATATAAATCTGTGTAGTTAGGAATTTCAACAGCTTTGGTGCAAATGAAAGACACAAAAGGTGCAACAGAGAGGAAACAACAGGTTAACTATAAACAACAACAGAAGATTTTGCAGGTGGTCACAGATCGTTGCTCTTTTTTTATCCCCCACAAAGATATCAAAGATATTTCTCTCTCAGATCATCAATGCCCGACTGGCAGGCTGGTCATGCTGTATGATGTTGCAGGCAGCGAGCTTGGTTATGGTGTCTCCAGGATGTCACGTGTGTCTCAGTGATGAACTTGCTCTCATCTATGCAGAGAATATTGCACGTACACAGGTACAAATTTGAGAAACACTGGGAAACATCAACTGATGACAGATTGAATCAAGCCAGTTTTCTTTGAAAATCCAAGAATTTCTTTAATGAGATAATACGCATGTAAAATAACATGAAATGGCAGCAGTGAATGAGACTTGGCTCCAGCCACGGTCTCTCTTTGTTTAATTGGGTATTTAGTCAGATTTAACATTCCCGTAACTATAAGCTGATCTCTTCTTCTGTGTTCACTGCCAAAATAGCAAAAAATTGCTCATAAGCCATTTAAAGATTAAAACAAGTTGCACTAGTTCACATTTTCATCATTCATCATCAGCTAATCTCTTGTGTGACTTTATTGTGGTCATAATTAAAGCGCTTAACCTGGAAAAGTTGCTTGACAGTCCCTGCAGATACATGGATAAGCAGTGCTTTTTAACAATTTTTTTTTTTTTATCAGATTATACCCAGCATTTTGCACTACCCAAAGCTCTGCCTTTTATTGGGATACGCAGAGCTGTACTTCATAATGTTTCATCATCATCATCGTTTATTTATATAGCACTTTAAAAACACACAAGGCTGACCAAAGTGCTGAACAACAGAAACATAATAGATACCATAAGAATAATAAATACGATAAATGATAAATAAATAAAATGAAATAATAAACATAGTGAAAACAATAAAATACAAGTCAGTCAACCACTGAATCAAAAGCCAGTGAATAAAAATGCGTTTTCAATCTGGATTTAAAAACCATCACTGATGTCGATTGCCTAATGTGAAGAGGAAGATTATTCCAAAGCTTAGGAGCCACAATAAAGAACGCTCGGTCTCCTCTCAGTTTCAACCGTGATTTGGGGACTGAGAGCAACAGCTGCTCAGCTGACCGGAGTGAACGAGTGGGGACATAGGGCTTCAGCAAATCAGACAGATACGCAGGTGCCAGACCATTTAAAGATTTAAAAACCAATAAAAGAACTTTAAAATTAATCCTAAATTCAATTGGAAGCCAGTGCAGGGAGGCCAGAACCAGAGTAATGTGCTCAAATTTTCTTTTACCAGATAACAACCGCGCTGCAGCATTCTGTACTAGTTGCAGGCGTGTCAGAGTGCCCGGTCCAACCCATATTAAAAGGGAGTTACAATAATCCAAGGGTGAGGTTAACAAAGTGTGGATAACAGTCTCCAAGTCACGCCTTGAAAGAAAAGGTTTAACCTTCGACAGACGCCTGAGTTGATAGAATGACGATTTCACCACCCCATTCACGTGGCCATCAAAGGTAAGTGCAGAGTCGATTTTTAACCCAAGATTGGTAATCGAGCTCTTCAGGTGAGGGGTCAGAGCAGCAAGGTCAACATCAGGGATATCAGAGGAACGATTCGGGCCAAACAGAATTGCTTCCGTTTTACGTTCGTTAAAATTTAAAAAGATTTGAGCCATCCATGACTTAACATCACTAAGGCAATCAAGCGGGAGTCTAATTTGGGAGCTATCAGAATGACTGAAAGGAAAATAAAGCAGGCAATCATCAGCATATAGATGAAATGAAACTTTATGTTTACGAAAGATCACACCCAGTGGCAGGAGATACAATGAAAACAGTAATGGCCCAAGAATAGATCCCTGTGGTACACCCCATGACAGAGGGGCCACAGAGGACGATGACGAGCCCAACTTAACACAGAAGCTCCTGTTTGAGAGATATGATTTTATCCACAGGAGTGCAAAGCCAGAAATGCCCACACAATGCTGCAATCGAGAGATCAGCAGGTCGTGATCCACTGTGTCAAATGCAGCAGTCATATCTAGTAGTATAAGCACTACGTGTTTACCACAGTCCGTCGCTACCAGAATATCGTTCATAACCTTTATGAGAGCTGTCTCTGTGCTATGAAACGGCCTAAAGCCGGACTGAAAAACTTCAAACATATGAGAGTTGTTTAGAAAATCCATCAGCTGAGTGTGAACAACCTTTTCCAAGATCTTACTCAGAGAAGGAAGTTTAGAGATGGGTCTAAAATTTGACATTGCTGAAATATCTGAGCCTGGCTTCTTAAGTAAGGGATGAATAACTGCATGCTTAAACTCACTTGGTACTTGACCTGACAAGAGGCTGGTATTGATTATGTTTAAAATATGTGGTCCAACAGTAGGAAACACCTCTTTCAGAAAACGGGGTGGAACGACATCATTCGGAGAACCACACGGTTTAGCACTTAACACAAGCTTCTCTAGTTCAGGTAGAACAATTGGTTGGAAAGCAATGAGCAAATTTAAACAGGGAACATGCACAGCCGGGCCAACAGAAGATTCATGAGTGATCTTTTTTTTTTTTTTTCATTGTTAATGCTGATAAATTAAGTCTTATGCTGTTTTAATATCAGAAAGCAAGGCAAGCTTTCTGAACCTGTATACTGCCAATATGACAAGTGGCATTCAGAGTGAAATACTCATTAGTGACCTGCAGGAAAAATGCTATGCTAGAGCGGATGATAAGGTCATTAATTCTGGCAGATCAGCCTCAATGGCATTTTTTCTGCTAAGTGATATGAAACCTAGCAGGAGATGGTTGGCTTGACTTTTGACTTTTTCATTAAGTATATTTTATTTAAAGCCTGGTTTTGCTTCCTTTATACCCCAGCTCTCTCCCATCTAAATGACATCATGTCTGGTTCTTAAAAAAAGATGCTTTTAAATTCCAAACCTCAGGCTGGAACATCATATTTTCACAGTCCAACAGTTAATCTTACTCTAGCTACATCCATTTCTTATTTACAGCCCATGGTAAAATATAGTCTTTATTAATTTTTTTTTTTTTAATTCATATGCATTCGTTTTTTTTAAGTACACTAATAATAATAAAAAATACAAACAATATTGAGTCTTACAAAATGTCGCATTGCAGTAAAACAAACAAAAGTAGTGCACAGCTGGACGCTTATGTGTCTGCTGCAGTTGCTTGATGTACTCAATTTAGTACACCCATTCAAGTGTGTTGTTTATGTAAATCATGTAGCAGCAGCTCAGTGCATTTAGGCATAAAGACATGGTCAAGATGAACTGCAAAGCTCTAATAACCAGTTGTTACAACAGAAGTATGCAGAAGAGCATATGTCAAACCTTGTAAAGGTGGACTACACCTGCAGAACACCATGCCAGGTGCAACTCCTGTAAGCTGACGACAAGAAACTGAGGCTACATTTCGCATGGGCACTTCAAAACCTTATAGAAGACTGAAAAATGTTCCCTGGTCTGGCAAGTCTAATTTCTGTCAAACAGTAGGGTCAGAATTTGGAGTAAATAACATGAAAGCATGTCTTCTACTAGTGCTTCAGGCTGCTACTGCTGTTGACCATGTTCATCCCTCTATGACCACAGTGTACAGATCTTTTTATGTCTGCTTCCAGCAGGATAATGCATCACATCACTAAGTTCAGATAATCTCAAACTGGTTTCTTGAACGTTATACTAATAAAGATAATAATAAGCTGCTATAACTCTTTGGGATTTTATTTTAAAGGTCACCAGGTGACACTAACTGGCAATATCTGAACCACCTATCTATTAAAGAGAACCCCACCAGTGAAAAATTTTATTATTGTAAGGGGTGTGGGAGAAAAGTGAGACTAACAACCCAGAGCACCAATGTGGTGAGACTGCTTCTTATTAAGTAATTCGGGTGTTATGAAACCAGGCTGGGTTTTTTGCTTTCTTCCTCTTCTTTGCTTTCACGTGGAGTTGGAAAAGTATCTCTTCCAGCTACTCATCCACATCCAGTCCAGGTCCATTCCTGCAAAAGAGAAATTGTGTTTTTACCTACTTGAAAACGTGCCTGCCCATCCACTCCCCTCCATCTCTTTATGTCCTAGGAAAATATGACTGGTTGCTCCCTCCACTGTCAGCCTCACCAGCATTTCCAAGTAATAATCCAATTTTTTTTTTTTACAAATTTCTCCTGCACTG